TTTTTTTTTTTTTTTTTTTTTTTTTTTTTTTTTTTTTTTTTTTTTTTTTTTTTTTTTTTTCCTGTTTATAATTTTAAAATTCAAAGAATAAAAAAGAGAGAAAAAAAAAGAAAAAAAAAAAAAAAAAAAAAAAAATATATATATATATATATATATATATATATATATATATATATATATATATATATATATATATATATATATATATATATATATTTTTTTTTTTTTTTTTTTAATTCACGATTTCTCGATTTCATTCAAAATTAAATCGTCTTAAAACGTAAATTCGAATTAATCGGGAAAAAAAATAAATAAAATAAAATAAAAAAAATAAATAAAAAAAAAAAAAAAAAATCGCCCAGCCCTAGTGTAAAAGCACCCTTAGAAATAATGAACTTGTAAAATTGTGATTTTAACCCTTTAAAATAAAAATATTTGTTGTTGTTCAAGCACAAAACATAGTGGTTCTTCTTTACCTCGCTCTGTGCTTTGCTCCACTGATGGTTGATGAAATGGTGTCCCAGGTCTCGGATGACAAACTGGCCATTTTCAAAGCTGGATTCAAAACACAGAACAAAATGACACTGAGATTATATGCTGTCATTATAATGGAAGTCAATGGTGCAAAAACAGCCACCAACATGATGAAAGGGCAGTCAATTTGCCCAGAGTGTATTGTTGATTTTGTTTTGAACTTTCAAAGCATTTTCCCAAAATGTGTGTCAAAATAAGTTTCGTCATAAAAATGCATTCCATTTGCTGCAACACAGAGAAAGTTGTGGCCAAATCAAGACTCAAAAATCACCCTGGAGTGGATGAAACCATCCCCGGCAGCACATAAAGGTTAATATAAATAACATGTACATCATGTGAAAGTCACTGCATGCTCACCCAAATCTCTGGCCAACTCCTCCTGGACAGGGTGCATACAGATTATACATGTTGAGTCCAGACTGATAGACAATTACTTGAACTGTGTTGACCTACAGAGGAAGGAAAGAGAAGAAAATGACCTGTAGGAATGTGACTGAATATGTACGAGAAAGCGTTAGTAAAACAGTTCAGCTTACAGAAGAGGAGCAGTTCACATCCTGGTTGTCGTAGAAATTACACACTCCATCTTTGCAGCAGAATTTCTGCAGGTCATTCCACAAGCTATGAAAATAAATAAGTTAATAATTTATTAAGTTATTTAAAGTAATAATAATAATAATAGTAATAATATTTCTATTACAATTTGTTAAAATTATATTAAAATATTAAAATATTTCATATTTAAATATGATTAAAATAAAAAATGAAAATATATTAAATAAATGCAAAATTAATTTAATAAAAATTGATTAAAACAAAACTATAAAAATATGAAAATGTGTTCAAAATTAAATAATTAAAATAAAATGTAAAATGAAATCAAATAAAAAAATTACATTGACATATAAATGACAATTTTATACAAACTTAAATAATTAAAAAATATAATGTTAAATTAAATATTAAACTTCAAAATTAAAATAAAATTAACAAATTATTAAATTAAATTTAATAAATGCATTCAATTGAATGATTTCATATAAATTAAAATAAAAGTAATTAAAATTAATTATTAAATTAAGTATGAAAATGCATTTAAAATTAAATTTATTAAAAATTAATATTTTAATTAATTCATTTTATTTTAAATATGAAAATACATTCAAATGTAATAATTTATTACAAAATTAAATTAATTAATTAAATTAATTTTTTGTTTTAATTAAATTTATATCTTCATATTTAATTTAATATTTTATTTTTATAAATTCATTTTATCTTAAATATGAAAACGCATTAAATTAATTCATTTTAAATATAAAAATGTATTGAAAATTAAATAATTTAATACAAAATTAAATGAAACAGGATTCATACAAAAATTAATTAAATTTAAATTAATTAAATATAAAAATGCATTAAAATTTTTATACAAAATCCACACATCCACAAATTAAAAAAATGT